TATTAGGTGGATATGGATTACTGCTTCACATCTCTGGCTTTAAACGATTTTCGAGTAGGACGTGACAGTCAGCTGCCGCTTGCATTGAATACCTAATCCGGTGATTTTCAAATTTGTTCCTTATGTTACCACAATTCTAAGAATACTTGTAACTAAAGCAAAAATTACCAAAAATATATTATCATTAGGCGTAATGATAGCCAAACGCTAACCTTTTTTAATTGCCAATGAAAAACAAGTTTGTATTATAACTTTCGTGAGACATACTAAATAAATTATTATATTTTCGGATTACTAACGTAATTATTTGACGAGGAACTCGACTAGTTTCAAACCATACTAGAGACTCATACAGGCGACTGTCGCGCTCAGTCAGTAGCAGCGCGACAGTCTCCGCGTCGCGGGTCGTGAAATGCTGCTCATGAACATGAGCCTCTAGCATGGCTTGAAACTAGTCGAGTTCCTCGTCAAATAATGACATGAGTAAACCGAAAACATATCTAATTATTAAAAAAAAGTTCCTAATGAATTCTCATGAAATACTGATGTTACTAATCACCTACTCTAGCTACTAACGGGTTTTTTCTATTATTTTTCTTTATTCTCCACGAACTCTTCTCTAAGCCCTTGTCATTCAGCTACTAACGGGTTACCGGGGCTCCAGTACAAACCAGAATAGAAATGGAATGGTTTTTAGTAAGCAGCTACAACTGATCATGAACGTCTTACACAAATATAGAAAAACAAACAAGCACAAAAAAAAATATGGAAACAGAGGGTGGTCTAGGAAATCTTCCGACTAAAGAGCGAATGCGAGGGTGGCACGATGAACAAATCAAATTTGCACCGCGCACCGCAGAGTACCGGTTTAAGCTGAACCAGCAGCTTAAGTCTGGCTTGCATTAGTCGGATTACTCCAACATATAGTCGCATCAACTGTTAAGCTGTGAAATGTGTTTTAAGGAAGGTTTGTTAAGATGTCGACTTTTATTAAGAATAGGACGCATTATGAATAGTAAGCATTTTGGTAGGTTAAGTATTTTTTGTAATAGAGGGTGAATTTAATGACAATATTGACATTATTAAAATTGATTTATTCCGTAAGTAACTGATTTTATTTTGTTTTTTTTTATTCATATATGACCTTTTAAATTCTTATTTATCACAAATTTTATTATTCAAATTCAAATTCATTTAATCATTAGCAAACATAAGTACATAATATAGGTGTTAAGAAAATTTACAGTTAATGTAGACTGTATTTACTGAAATTAATGTAGATAAATTCAGTAAATTTAATCATACCAGTGTTTTTGACTCAAAGCAGGCTGCGATGACATTCAATTGTGAGGTAGCTATAAGATTGATAATACAATAACTATATGTCTAAATAAATAATAAGTAATGACGTCAATGAGTGCCATATACCGGGCATTCTTCCAGATTTCTTATACGCTCGCTTATCCTGATATACGAACTTGCTTGCATGCTGTTAGAATAGGAATAACCAATTTTCGACAGCCTTCTGCTCTTTCTTTTGTAGTGAAAACTAGCCACTTTCTAGAAATAGTAAATAAATAGCACCTATGTGTAAAGTTGTCTGGAGAGTGAGACAAAATGTTTCTGCAAGAGTTTGCGGACGGACAAAGCTGTCACTTTTAATAAAACGAATGAATTGCAGGTTGAGAATAGACAATTTATAATTTGTTCCCTTACTACTATTATCTATGTAAACTAGTATACACACATTTGATACTAGAGGGAGCTAGTATGCAGTAACTAATATTATTTTGATATAACTAAAATACATATTTTAACAATTTTCATATACAGCTGATTAAAAAACTATAATCATTATAAATTGTAATATGTACAAAGTGATAATCATCATTGGGTTTGGGTGGTATTTTAAAGATTTTTCTAAAGTTTTCTTTTCTAAAGATAATACCACAAAGTAAAATTTAAATTAAATCATAACGATTAAAAAATTAATGTCTGCGAAATATCTCATCAAAACTTGTAAAGATAATATCTTAATGCTTTTAGTTCTATTAACTCTGTTCATTGCTTACGCCTACAAAGTTAATCTACTTCAATTAAAATTTTATCTGTTGGTTCAGTAGCTGAAAGGACGATTGTTGAGAATGAGATTTATCGCTTACTAACAGTTAGGTTAGTGAGCGTTAGGTCGTGGTGGCCCGTAGGTTAAAGACACCCGCTTCCCATGCAAGAAGGTGCGGGTTCGAAACCTACCAACGGCAAGTATCAATGTGACAATGTGTGTGAATGTGTAAGATTCTTCAGACACCACTGATAAACGGTGAAGGAAAACATCGTGAGGAAACCTGGGCCTCTAGCCAAACGCCACTTTAGCGCTTGTCTACAGAGAGAGTAGGAATCAAAATGTATGGGGATGACACTGACAAGTGTCAAAATTTACGTCAATTCCATATAATTTGGTTTTCTATTCTACATGTAGACAAGCGCTAAATGGCATTTGGCTACAGCTGCTGGGCTTTTAATTTCTTATTATAAGTTTGTAGTCGCCAACCCGGATTTGAGCAAGCGTGGTGATTAATGCTCAAACCTTCTCCGTGTGAGAAGAAGCTTTGCTCAGCAGTAGGCAATTATAAGCTGTTGATGAACAGTTACAGTACGTAAGTAAGCCGTAAACCATAATTAACTTAATTTATCTAAGGAGAGTTATCTATCTACCTAAAGAAAAATGCTCGGCTAAAAATAACAGATTGGCTAATTTTGGTCTTAAAATGTGTCCAGAAAGTATTAAAAGGTGACGACAAAAAGAATATCAAGCGATACAAAGTTTATCGGGTCAGCAAGCAATAATAAAAAACGTCTTGTGATTTTGATATTTTTTAATACATCAGCTATAATTCAATACATAGCATTAGATACGGATCAAAATTTAATAAGCACATTTGTTTTGCTAAAATAACATTCCTAGAGCCTACAAAAAATGTCCTCCAATACTTGATTCTCATAAATAAATACATATGCATGAAACTTCGGCTGGGAAATTGGACTGTAATATTTATGAAATAGTATCGATTATTGCTTTACGATGTCTTGTCTGCTAGTTGGGGTAAGAAAGGTCCTATTATATCCACAACTGCTCAAGAATATTTAGGCACTGTTGTAGTACCTTTCCTTATGTGTAGTACCTTGAAAATTGTACACATAAATGTGCATTAAGCATCTGTAACTTAAATGAAAATGTACGATATACAAATTTCAAATCCGCTATAACTTAGCGCTGCCTCCTCACAACCCAGTCATCGCAAAGGACACTCCGAGCGTCGGAGTTCACGGGACGATCTCCGGCCACTGTAAGCGAGGGCCTGCGGACGGCTAACATGGGTGGCTCGCCACCCGAACAGAGCCAGACCCGAGCGTGCGGCGCGACGCGTTCCGCGCGCATCTCAAAGAGCCATCAGACCACCACGGATGGGGCCCATTAGGGCTGATGCAGATACGGAGCCGCGGAGGACTTAACGGGTAGCCAGGGCTCCGGCTCGAAGTGCAGGAGTAGGAACAGGGTGGTTTTTAGTCAGTAAGAGTCTGACACTCCCTACCGCCTCACCCAAACGAGAGCAGTAATTCGACGATTTCGCTTAATACTTACCCATAACTTCTTTGATTCAGTACAGACGAGTTCTTGGCCGTATTTCATTTAGACCGTCGAGGCTGTTTAGATTTGTGAACCGAATTTTGCACCTTGACTATTGGAGTGTAATATACAAATTCCAAAATCACGGAGTTTCGTATTCATTACGCAAACGTGCATACATCTATATAGGTCTGTAGGTCATAAGTAAATCAAGTGCTTGGAACTGATCGAATTTTATTGATTTTACTACTGGACTGCCTTTTCCACTCGACCAACAAGACAAAGTAAACTATATCATCAAATACATAGAATACAATTTCAAATACATGGTTTATGCAATAACAAAGCAATTTCATTCATACATCAGTTGGCAGCCAAAACCGCAATATTAAATAATAGTATGACAGTCTGCTTATAGTTCGCTTACAAAGGTCATAGGTCCTAGACAAGTGATACCAACTGAAAATATAATCATGCCCTTCTGTCAACCTCATGCCTTAGCAGAAGTACATACATAATAGCATATTAAAAAACTAGCTGTGCCCCAGTCTTAATCCACGTAGTGACTTAGAATCCCGTTCCCCTTAGGTGTCCCGCACTCACAGCTCCTCTTCCAGGTGATAACAGGATAATATGTAACTTATATGTTGACCCAACCTGCTTTTTTTAACATGGTCAGTTGAACTTTTATTTACAAGTAATATAAACTTAAATAAAATAAATGTTAATATTCATGCGAAATTTGAAGTAAATTCATGCAGCTACTTTTATTAGTTTGGCACGGACATACATACAGCCAAACGATAAAGTTACTAAAAACTATATTTTGGGCTTCGATATCGATTGTAGATAACGCCCCATGTATTCTTTTAAAAAAATAATCAATGTTCAGTTTTGACTTTCCTGCGATTATATTATAAGTACAAAGATGTCCTTGAAAGCCACGTAAAAAATTGTCATACGCCAGTAATATTCCAGACTCCGTACTATTACTGACAATCTCCAAAACTAGAAAACCAGACCTTAATTGGTCGACCTCAAAGTCAAATTCAAAGGTATTTAAATTACACGATGAAGACACAATTGAACGTTAAACATAATATCAAAAATGTCAGACTGCCGGTCAGTCCTCTAATGAAGCTATTTGCTCGTTCCATATTTGAAATTCCTATGGGGAAGAATCAGCAAGAAACTTCATAGAATACTCTTTTTAAACCTGTTAAATGAACCCGAAGTCTATTGTCTTACTATAATATTCAAAAATTGAAGGATACCCCTGCTGCCATATTCAGAGAGACTTATTAACCTACGGCAAAACATTCGCTCATACTTAATGTCAACGGAAAATTAATTCACCTCAATTTGCTTACAGGAATTACCGGCCCTGACATGAGGACAAAAGTGAGCATTCGACAACCAAGCAGGGAAATCACACAATTGGAAAACGTAAGTCTCTATTACCAACGCACGTCAATCTACCCTAGTCTTTAAATTCATTTCAACCTTAAAGTACAGTTATAAGGTTGAAAATCGTTTAGTTATGTTTTGGAATATGAGAGTAGCTTGATGTGTGATTTGTGATGTAAGCCCCAATTACTTATGTTTCGCTCTAATTACTGTGTAAGCTTTATGTACGGGTTCTAAGGGAGACGTATGGAACTCTGCAATGTACTAAATATCTAGAATAAGTAATTACGTGCCTTCGGGTTTCTTTATGAGAACTGTTAAGGAATGAAATTCCTTGGTAAGGTTTGTCTCAAGGAGGGGAAAACCAAGACTTAAGTGAATAGGTCTCTTCATCGTTGCCTACCATAAGCGAGACAGCAACATAAAGCCGTCTAAAACGAACTGTAAAAAGTCCACAGCAATTCTTTTTTTTTAATATAAATTGAATCGTATTATAATGCAGGAACGTTTGTTTTTGTTTCAAATTCAAAAATTATAGGTATGCAACGTCGGTAAAAGGTAAACGTTAAATTTTTTATCTATAAAATATAAACTACTTACGTACTTTTTATTACCAAGGATAATTACCTATCTAAGATGCGACATTTGTAAAGTACCGCCAGGCACGATCACCTCGCCTGGTCGGAGGATCCTCCTTTTCCGATCTTAGAGAACTTTACTCTCTGATTCCTAAGATTCTACTAAACGATCTTTATGTAGATTTGTCTAAGCTAAAAGGCTACATTCCAAGAACCTTAATTCAGAAAGCAATTTAAATGTATGCAATTTCGAATCTATTGTCTCAAATATTATTAACATATAGATAACCAATTTACTGTTAATCTTTATGGTAAACATAATGTGAATGTTTAAAACAAATTGAGGAAAAAACGAAGCCTTCGAACAAAGATAATAAGATTTTCTATACAATATGGTAGACCTAACAATGATTATTTTTGCAATTCTTTTTATAATAAGACGATGAAGAAAAGAAATAGACTATAGAAGAACATTCTAGAATTAGGTACTAAGTATCGTCTTGCAACAGCTTCCAACGATGCTTTTCTAAATTGTTCGGTTAACGTACAACTTTATTGTTTTATGTATAAAGTTGACAATCCAACGCAAAATAATACAACTTCTCATTTAATTATTACATTATATCCCTACTGTTGTATTTTTAACCCTATTACAATGAAGAGAAGAGCTAATTGCCGAACATCGTTTACCTACACGTGGGTCTATACTTGACCTTTTTCCAGCACCTCCCTAATGGGATTAGGAACTGTTTTCTTAGGGCAGTTCCTACCGTTATTTCTTCTTACATGCCTTATATAAATACTTTTTGTATTACTGCTTCCATTTTTACAATATTAAGGCTGTGACTGCCGATATAAACTTTTGAAGCCAAATCCTCAGCTAAACGTCGGTCACCGGTGACCCTCGTGGCGTTTTAATGTGTAAACTACCTTAGAAAACATCTTACTGCTGGCAATAGTTGACAACTTATGTCACTACATAATATTATTTCATTACTACACGCCTAACTACTCACGCCTTTTATCCCCGAAGGGATAGGCCTGTGCACATTACGACACTTAATGCCACTGTACTATGTAACACCCACTTTTCACTATTTATATTATGAGTCCCATGTAATAGGGGTGAGCCTATTGCCATAAACCAGGCAAAATTCCAGACACCGTGCTACTACTGATAATTTTTTTAAAACCCAGTAATACTTTGCCCGACCCGGGCATCGAGCCCAAAACCCCTTGCCCGGCAGTCGCTCTTGTGACCACTCGGCCAAGGAGGCAGTACACATCCATAGAACACTATGATATATTATATGATTAAATACCTACAAAATATATACAGTTATAACTAAAGTGTTCAACTGATGTTAACGGGTTGCCCTACTGATTGTTAGCAACCGAATCCGTCCTAGTTTTTGTAAAATTAATCGGGTGCATGTCTGTAAAATACCACTAGTTGGGCTTGCTGCTATTGCAGCAGTCGTGAGAGACGTCACGGCGGCGTCCTTACCTACCGCCTGACGCAGGTGCTTACTGGATACAGAAGTTTCGGTAGGATCCTGTTTCGGATCGGGTGGGAGTAAACGCCCGGGTGTCATCACTGCGAGGACTGCCCGGAGGACACGGTCGAGCATACTGTGGCGGTGTACCCTGCGTGGGCTGAGCACCGCTGTGTCCTTGTGGCTGTTGGCTAAAGAGGAGGCAGGACCTGTGAGAAAACGAACCTCCTCACGCCCCAGCCGTCCCGAGAGGCACTCCGGGCGTCGGAGATCGCGAGACGATCTCCGGCCACCGTAAGCATGGGCCTGCGGACGGCGAGCACGGGTGACTCGCCGCCTGACCAGAACGAGACCCGATCGTACGGCGCGTCGCGTTCCGCGGGCGCCATAAGGAGCCATCAGACCACCATAGATGGAGCCCAATAGGGTTGATGCCGAACGGAGCCACGGAGGACTTAACGGGTTGCTGGGGCTCCGGCTCGAAGTGCAGGAATAGGAACGCGGTGGTTTTTAATCAGTAAGAGTCTGACATTCCCTCTTGCCTTCCCCAGGTGAAAGAAGTCATAGGCTGATTATCCCCCCTTAAAACAAAAAAAAAACGTACCACTGGTCATCTGAATATGACATCTGGTCTTTAATATCAGACTTCATGCTGGTACTGGTAATTCAGAAACCTTGTAAATAAGCTTTGAACTTTGTTTTTCAAAGAGCTAATTGCGTTACAGTGGGCTCCTATAAATAGAACACGATTGCCTCTTTTTGTTCTAAGTAAAATACAAGAACTATTTACACCTACATCACCATATTGTTCTGAATAATAAATACCATTTTGTTTTTTCTTCCAAAGACATTTATTTAATGTTAAGTCACCCGAAAAAATAAGTACAATCGCATCTCGTTGTGGGCGTAACTTAATCTTTACCTGAACGCTCTTAAGTTTTTTACCCTCAACAATTATGCTTTTTAAATGTGAACGATTCGCACAAATTGAATACATTTCATAGTATATTTTTTAACATAACATAGCATTATGCTTTTTATCCCCGAAGAGGTGTACACAGAAGTAACATCCACTTTTCACTATTTATGTTATGAGTCCCATGTAATAGGGGGTGAGCCTATTGCCATATACCGGGCACAATTCCAGACTCCGCGCTACTACTGAATTAAAAAAAAAACCCTATAATACTTTGCCTGACCCGGGAATCGAACTCGAGACCCCTTGCCCGGCAGTCGATTTGCGACCACTCGGCCAACAAAGCAGTCTTAAGTATTTTTTGTGCACCTAAATAGGCTAGGAAACGGCACTTTTATAAAATATCATACAACTTTTAGGATTCGAGTAACTGCAAGACGATAAACGGTAGAAACGTAAACGATGGCTTATAATTGGATTCGACTGCACGGTTGGCGCGGTCGCTGGGCAACTGCCTGCCGCGCAATTTGTCGCGGTTTCAATTCTCGCACGGAACAACTCTTTGTGTGATCCACAGATTGTTGTTCCGAGTCTAGATGTTATGTGTATGTGAACTTGTATATATGTTTGTAAACGCACCCGCAGTACAGGAGAAATAAGTACTAGGGCAACGTTTTTTTTAAAAAAAAAGTACTGATTATTAATCAATTTGGATACTATATTAACAGATTAGAGAAAAGATGTCGATGAATTTGTGTTTATAAATTGAGTAAATATTCATCGACGCACATCAGACTACCTCAGAATGTGTTCCTCCTATTTTTTTTCGGATTCACTGTCTATACTAAATAAAGAGGAACATTTTGGGGCCGATTTTTCCAACGCCAGATAAAACTGAGGAATATCTATAAGTTTTACGAAAGAGATGAATGAACTGTCAATAGGCTAACCCCCTATTACATGGGACTCATAACATAAATAGTGAAAGCCTACCCCTTCGGAGATAAAAGGCACAATGTTGATGTAAAGTATTAGCAAACGTACCCACAGAAAAGAATACTATAGTAACAATAAATCTCTTTTAAAAAAAAAACTCGTGGCCTTCTGCTACTAAACTATGGAGTTCCATCTAAGGTTTCATCTACACAAAAAAATGCCATAATCCTTACTTCATTACTAATATTATAAATCGGAAAGTGAGTTTGTTTGTTTGTTCCACTTTCACGCCGTAACTACTAAACCGATTGCTTTGATTTTTTGCAGACGTAAAGTTAGAAGTCTAGATTAAATAATAGGGTACTTTTTATCCCGGAAAAAAAATTGATATATCATCCGAGGGAAAACAAAAGTATTGGTATAGGTGGCGCTGTGTGTATTGGTATATGTCACATAGGCTACTTTTTATCCTTTTCTGACGCGAGCGAAGCCGCGGGTAAAAGCTAGTAGTTTTAATAAGTTAAAGTTATACATAGTTCTAATGAATGTTATAAACACCCTTGCCTATATATCTACAACATTTTTTTTAAAGGGGGGAAAATCATTGAATTGCTGCTTTCGCCTGGGTGAGGCGGGAGGGAGTGTCAGACTCTTACTGACTAAAAACCACCCTATATCTACACCAATAGGGATTATAGTCTGTTAGGGTAGCATCATATTTGTTTAGGCTAACCTAAAACAAATGAGAGAGCTATCCCAGTTGGGTAATTGGAAAACTAATCTATAGTTTATCACGTGTTTTAACACTGATCAATACACGTGGACTATCCAATAAATAAACGAATTATACTTAAATATAATCCAGATCACGCTTCTAACAAACTTCTCTCGATTATCCAAGTTCTTCGCATAAATTTAAATCTAAGTTTTCTTTTCTTGCACTTATAAAGATGGCTTCCTGAAGTTTCTTTAACTCTTAAGTTATAATTGAGTAATTAACTCCTGCTGCTTCGGTCTTTCGAATATAGTGCTTTCTTTTTCGAATAGTGATTAAATAAAAGGCTAAGTAATTCATTTAAGTGTAGGAGAACCATGCTCCGGCACGAATGGGCC